TATAATTCAAATAATGCAGAATGGTATGATCCTAAATATTCTTGGTACTGCACTGGCTATGCCAAAAATAAAAATGACAAACCTAGACCATTTGTATCGATGGAGAAAAACCCACTGCGAGCTAGAGAATTACTTATCTGGATTTAAAAGTCAATTTCCAAGAGATTTCCTTTTCTAATAAAAATGAAGATGGCAATATGAATGTTCATCCGATTAATAACTTTTTAATCCCTTATGATATTAGTTCATCATATTTAAGAAAAATAGAATCTGATCATGCTATTATAATTCACGAAGGTAAGACTTGCTCTAAATGTAACCATCTTTGTAAGTTAGCATTAAGGCACAAAATAAATTGAGAAGCATCAGATCATTATGGTGTGATGAATGATAGACCAATTATTCCAGCACCTAGACCAATCACCTCTATGATTAAACAAGAATACAATGAAGTATCAGATATCATTGATCTATATAGGGAAGTTTCTGATGATGAAGACTAATTGCGCTTCTTTGCTTTTATCCCATGCACTCTAATTTCACCTTCTTCATCACTAGATGATTCAGAGCCAGACCCAGACTCAGATGAGGATGAAGATTAGGTATAGTTAATATTTTTTTTACGTATTTTATACTTTCTAACATTGATATTATGTGAATTTCCTATCGAGTTTATAATGTCTTGTTGAATCTTGGATTTTACTATTTCCAGTAATTGGCTAAGAGAAATCTAAATTTTTTTATCTGATACTTGACTAACAATACTAGATATCGTATTAATAGTATTCTGTTGCTTTGTAAAAGACTTGATCACTGTTTCAATACTTTCACATAATTCTTGAGACGGATAACTATTGGTCATCCCAGCTCCGCTAATATTATCTTTAACTATTGCTTCATTTATAACAGACTTGTTATTAACTTCAGTCATCATATATTTTGAATTATCTTTTATTAATAAGTGATAAAAAATACATTATTGAATATAATACTCTGCCATGCTTAATTTACTTGATCTTATTCCACCAGAATTAATACCATTTATTACGAAATATCTTCTGATTCAAGATCTTAAAAATTGCTGTAGTCTAGATGATATATGGAAAACCGAAGCTATTAGAGAAATTTGCAAAAGATTAATAGTGGACTGCTCATTCATTGATAGTAAAACAACTGTTAAAGCACTTATTGATCCCAAATCCCAGTATAATAGTATCAGTAAAGCACTTGCCCGAAAAATGAATTTATATATAACAAGGATGGATGGGTCTAAGTATCCCATGGGTCTAAGTATCCCATGGTAAAAGATCTTGGCATTGGCGCAACAAATACTGGTAAAAAAGTGATGGTAAGAGGATGACTTCGTGATAAAGAGATTTCTATTTCTTTACCCAATATCTTTGAGTTGGAATCCCCTCATATTTGGATAAATCATATGAGCATTTCTTAATCATTGACAAACCCGAATATAACTTAGTTTTGGGAAGTACGTGACTAACGAGATTGGGTAACAGGATTGATGGGCACAATAGGAGATATTGGGGATCTAATGAGGAAAAAAGAATATATTACGCAAGAAATAATATTGATCTTCTATCTCCTTCATTATATACATTCTACGAATTATTATTTCCTAAATTTACTGCAATTAATTCAGATGGGGAAGTTATATTAATCAAGTTTTCTGATCAAAATAAGGAGAATACCCTGATTGATCTAAGTGAATATTATGATTCAGAATATTCTGAAACAGAGTCTGAATTCACCGATTCTGAAACAGAGTCTGAATTTAGTAATTCTGAACTGGTTAATCTACCTCTCCCAATTATAAGAGAAACAATATCAGATGGTAATATTGATTTTATTTCCGCATTCAGTAATTATCTCAGAGAAATTGACAGAATTAATACTAATTATCCATCATGGATTACAAATAATTACGGATAATTGGTAATTATTTATTAGTTATTTTTTCGATAAAGATATAGTGCATAATATAACTTACTATAAAAATAGCCAAAGCTAGAGTAGGGATCCAAAAAGTTAATTGCTATCTTAATCCAGGTTTTCTCGGACCAGCTATGTGCATTGATAAGCTCCTCAAGAAAATAGGTGGTAAAATTAGCAGAAAACTAACTCCCGAAGAAAAAGATAGCAAATTCATCAGAGAAGAAGCCACAGCTCCACTTGGATTGGTCATAATCCCACTTACATTTACATCTAATATAAAAGATAATATTCGTCTTAATAACGAAAAATCTATTACAATACTAACCGAAATACTCGTAGAAAAATATACCCCTAAAATGTCTAATTATATATTACTTGATAATAATTGGTTTTATGACCGAAAATATGATGATGATGAGCTCCAAATATACATATCTGAAATTGTGACCGATACAGAAGATGCCTGGGTAAGAACTACATTGCGTATCAAAGATCTTAATGCCAAGAAAGGGGGGAGGGTTATAGTATCTGTCGATAAAAAAGATATTCATGATTTTTACAAAATACTTCCCAGGGAATCAAAAGATTTTGACACTTCTAATTCAGATACTTCAGATAGCAATTCAAGTAATTCTTCCACATCTAGTTCAGAAATAGAAGTTACACATGCGCATAAGACTAGAGCAGTAAAGAAACACCCCATTCTAAAGCGTAAAGTAAAAGGTAAAGTTAATTATCGAGCTTTATCTTAATGCGTCTAATAGCATATATAAATCACATTATAATGGGCCTCAGGGGAACGAGGTCATATTTAATTGATCACATATGATAATTGCTTTTTCCAATAATAAATTTTTGTGCATGATAATAATCGTCATCCGAGATATACAAACCTGAAATTGTAAATCATTGCTATGTATGTCTATTGCTGGCATGTCGATCATATAACGCGTATTGAAAAAAGGCACGCTTGTAAGATGTGCAAGAAACTAAGCTAATTCGTCATTGTTTTGTGAAATTAATGCTAATCTTTGCTTTTCTACGATTACCTGTAAAAATTAAGTGATTCCGATCCAAAGCAATTAATTTATCAATGAATGGATCACCAAATCCGAAATTAGTTTTCATAATATCTGAAATTGGTTTTATTAATGGCGAAAAATATACCATATAAAAATAAATTATACTTAGCTTTCAGGATTTACTTATTAAGCCATCTAATATATCGATATGGCCAGCGAGACTTCCCCTGCTCCCTCAGAACATTTTACAGATAATAATGAGACCCAATTCGAAACCACAGATTCGATTAAAAATAAATGTAATCCCTGATGGTACTCCGGAAACTAGAGAGCCCAAAAGATTTTTCACCTTTTTTAGCAAGATAGGGATGGATAAAATAGGACAAGCGAAATGCCTAGCCTATAATCAGACTTTTATTGTATCATGGCTACATATTTTAAATCTAACTATGTGTTCAGATGATTCTCGAGTATAACTCTTGAAAAGAGGCTTTGCTTCGATGCTTCGCATCATCGGTCAACTGGTGTTAGTTATATGCGATTAGGTAATATATATCAGAAAAATTGACAGTAAATATTTTTGCCCCGTACAGTATAAAAAATTATTGCACTTACCTTTTGTGCAATCTAACTTCACAAAATGAATGAACTAGGATTTATTCACCTAAAGCAAATTCATCAATGTTAGGATATTTATGAATCATAACATCATCAGCAAGAATTACCTCTTTAAAATAGGTATCGATATAACGTGAATGAAAGGACACAGTGTAGTCCTGAT